CACACACACACACACACACACACACACACACACATATATATATATATATATATATATATATATATATATGCTATATATTGTGTAAATATACTAAATGTGATTTATTCGTACTGACAACATCAGCCAATTTAATGGTTTTGTTAATATCATTATTATCTACCTGGTACATCACGATACATTTTCAAGTATCTTGGTATTTCCCATTATGTGTGTCAAAAACATGGTAACTTTTTCTGTAAGTATAATAACTGTGATTTATTCATAATGACAAAATAATGGTACTGTTAACATATTCATACAGAATGGCATTTACTTCTAAGAATATTATGGTCAAAAACATAGTAATATCTTTTTTTCAGTGAGTATAGTAACTGTGATTTATTTGTAATGATTTTGTTACCATATTCATATAGCAAGATGTCTAAATGGTACATCAAAGTACTTTTAAGAATACCATGGTATTTCCATGGAACCTGTCCAAAAACATATAAATCCCTTGTTCTATAAATGTGGCAACTGCCATTTATTTGTACAGACGAGAAAATGGTTCAGTTAATGGCTACAGAGAGTTTAGATTAAAAATGCAAAACATACCTGGTGCACTGGGACATTGGAGAAACAGCCCAGAGAGTGTGCTAAGGTGTCTAATTTCTTCAAGGAACCTGTATCTAAAACTGGCTGAGCACTCACACAAAACAATACAATGTAGAAGTTATTCACATCTGTCTTTATCTACGTGCACATTCACATCTTCAGCCCTCCCTTTTTTAAAGACTCATTGGCTTTCCCATAGTCTCAAAGGACAGACAGAGATCCCTGTCCACATGGCACCCACTCCGTGTCTGTCCCGCGATCGATCCGACGCCTCCCTTGCTCTACCCCGCTTTCCCTTCTCAAAGCCTCTCCCTCCAGTGGGCTGTGCTTCTAACTACCGAATCTCACACACCACTGATCCTTTACGTCCCCTGTCAAAGCCGCCTGACAACTCCAGAGAGGGGGGAGTGCGAGAGCCCTCAGCAACCTCTTGATTTCACAGACTCTCATCCGGTGTATCTAGGGAACAAGGCACTGCTTTCACCGAACCGCTGTTATTACGTCACCCGTCACTCAAAATCAATATGGTGACACAGAGACAACACTCTCCATCCCACATGCGCACAAACGACCAGCCAGTCGGATGTAAAATCAGTCCCTGCGATTACTTACTCCTAAAATGCCTTTAATGAACTCATTTGATTTACTTTCCTTAGCTGACTGGAGCTGCGGGCCAAAACACAGTGAGCGAAGAACAAAGAGAGCCACTCCACTGAGAATAATTTCACACTGAAGGGTTTCTTTGCGCTGCTGTAGGAAATTGCTTTTTTGTTTTCAGAACCACAGATTGGCTTTGAAGCCCTGAGCCTCGGGAGATGCTCTTCACCACAGACTGCACAATCAGGTCCTGCTCTCCCTCCCTCTCCTTCGTCCTCAGTCACACGCGCTCACACTCCGACTCGCAGCTCTGCTGAAAACAAAGATGATCCCTCCTCTGTCTTTCCTCTGACACCACCATTGTCGAAGCTTAGATGTTTACCTGGGTGCGCTGACACTCACTCACCTTCGCTCGCAGTCACGGTGGTGTTCCCGGTGCTGCCACGCTGTCGAGAAACAGAGAGGAAGGATCTACGATCAACCCTTGATCCAATTAAGTGCATGAAAACAACACAAAATGCAGCCAGTTTATTATACTAAAACAGCCTGAGCTCAATAAAACCAAATTAATCTAATCAAGTTCCATATTGTTTGCCTCACCACATTTTACCTCTTCGGGGTCTGTGCTGTTTGTGGTAGTTGAAGCTCGACGTATTGATGAGCTGGAGCTGGGTCAATTAGCCCTAAAAAGCATGGACAGAGAGAAAGAGAGAGAGAGAGAGAACGTAGAGGAGAGCAAAAGGAGGAGGCGGGAGAGAGCGCACAGATCCACTGGAATAAATATGACGCAGAGCCAGAGCAACTTCTCCAGCCCGCTGTACCCAACGAGGGCACTGTCACCATGGCAACGGCAGAGCAGTGATAGCTCGCCGGGGCACACAAGGCACGGCATTATTCTGTCTCTCACTCACTGGAAATACACAGTTCCACTCAGACGGCGAGCACGTAGGCAGGGGGACGGGCGCCTTGTGTTCAATTAACTCTACTCGTTCTGGGCCCCAGGAGCCCAGCCACCTGTGACCTAAGATGAGGACCAACGCTGCTTAATGTGAAGATTATTTGAGAACACGCCAAATGGGTCGCCAATCAGCATTTGGAGACGGATCCTTACAAACTCTATGTTAAACGAAGCAAAGTGTCTGCCTAGTTAAGTTGAATGGGAAAGGTTTATATAGCATTGTGAAATGAGAAAGGTTTATTGGCTTGCTGAGAAAAACTTGGGGTATGTTTACACGACAACAAACGGAGACGTTTTTCCTTTGTGTTTTTGAAAAGATTTCCATACAGACGACAACGTTGTCAAAACAATCCCAGTTCACACTGATCTACAAAAACGAATAAAAACGCTGTATTATGCATGCCAGGCCAGTAGTTGGCAATGTCACTTTTTAAAGAAACACTGTGTGCCTGCGTAGTGCGTACGTACCTATAGACTGAACACATCATATGCATGTGCATGACCTCATCATTTTCAAAAATTTGCATTTTTGCACTTTACACGGAGATCATAAAGGTACTGTTTTCAAAAACTTGAACTTTGATACCAGTTTTCAAAAGTTTGTGTCTCCAGGCCAACAAAACACTGTTGTTGTGTAAATGAATGGCCAAAATGCATCAAAAGTTTTCCATTTTTAGTTGAAAACTGTTGTGTAAACGCCCCCCTTGGTTTGTTGGTCTTAGCTGGTTTACAGTGGACTCCAAGTCTGGCTGAGCTATTTTTAGCTGAATGGAGAGCTGGTCTTCAGGCCTGAATAGCTGAAAAGGGCCTGAATCCCCTCTAAAACTCAACAATAATCATCTTAAACCAGCCTAATCTGGTTTGCTAGTCTCACAGCCTAGTCAGACTGCCCTGGTGACTGGTTTTAAAGGGGTTTTAGGCTCTCTTCAACTGGTTAAGATGGGACATCTACTTAAGCTCAGAATAGTTTGAGGTTTTTTTCAGCAGATTTACCAAATTATATGTTCATTAGTCTGCTGAAAAAGTTAGTTTGCTGGTCTTAGAAGGTTTAAACTGGTCCCCAGCCTAGCTAAGCTGTTTTTAGCTAAACGACCAACAGGCCTGACAAGCTGAAAAGTGCCCTCTTTAAACAAACCAATAAAACATTGTAACATCTTAGAACAGCCTAATCTGGTTTGCTGATCTTCCAGCCTGGTCTGTTGACTGGCTTTAAAGGGTTTGGGGCACTTTTACGCTGGTCAGGCTGGGAGACTTGCTGAAGAACAGGTTGACTAGACTAGGAGACAAGCCCAAACCAGCTAAAACCAACTTATAACCGCTTAGAGTACTTAAAGCAGGCTTATTCAGTAGGATTGCAAAAAAAATAAAAATAAAAATAAGGTGGTTTAATCTGGTCCTCAGCCTGGCCAAGCTGTTTTTAGCTGGCTGTTTTCAGCTGAAACATGCCCAAAACCCCTCTAAAGCCAGATATAACAGACCAGCCTGACCAATCTGGAAGACAAGCAAACCAGTTTAGGCTGGTTTAAGCAGGCTTTTTCAGCAAGGTAGTTCTTTGAGAATGCCAAAATCAGCCAATATTCTTGCATTAAACTTCCACTGCCATTCATGTCAAAATTGAGACATTATTCAAATTATTTGACCCAAGCTGAAATCAAAAGCAATTTGTCGTATTAGCAATGGAAAGCTGATGTAGTTAGGAAAAATGGTAATGTCCAGACAGTCAGAAATATAATAAGCTTTATCTTAATGAGCTGTCAAGCTGTGTAAAAGAAAATTCCACCCAGTGGGCTGAGGAACTGGGTGATCCCTACACCATAATTTGGTGCTTAGGAAAATACAGTAAGTTTTATAAACAACAGCTCTGGCCAACAAGGATATGAACATTTTCTTGTCTTTTTATGCTTTGAGTGGTGTCTGCTGCTTGCCAAGAGCAAAGCTGAGCAATGAGGCAGGATGGAGAGGAACGGAGAGTGCCAAGTGACTCCAGTCTCAGCAGAATCATTCTAATGATGAGAGCCACACAATGGAAGGTGACCCACTTTTTGTGCCGCGTCCCTCTGGGATTTGCCGTCTCCAAAGATGCCCTGGCCCAATTTCAACGTGTACACATTGTGTGCGATTATGTATTTGCTTGTGCGGTATGGGTGGGCGGGTGTTTGGTAGAACATAGCTCAAAATGATCTACTGCAAATGTGTTTCCCAACCATAATAATATGCCAAAATGTGACTAAGTGCACAAGGAAAAGGCAGAATTTGTGTACGGAAATAGCAAAGAACTTCTCCTGTCGAACGCAACAAAAGGAACTAGATGCAAAGAGAAGTATCTGGATCGTGCATAGATCAGGATGAACTTCATCAGGTGCTCTGGTGTTTGTATCATCCGGCAAGAAAAAACATGATTTCACGCATAATGCTTTCATTGTGCTGACTCCAGCCCTCATTGTGCCAAACAATTCCCTACAGCGCAAATATAAAGCTACTTTAGACACATCCGCCTCTGGCAACAGCAGCATATGCTGGACATTAGCTCTTGTAATTCAGTCAGCATGTTTGTATGTAACTCAAAGCAGACAGGAACCTAGGCATGTGCACTTAAGAAGCACTGATAGCAAATAATCATTACATGTCTATTGGGGATGATCTGTATAAAATATAGGAATTTTTAAAATGGAAACTTTCCAAGCAAGTACTACAAAAACACCTCTCACTAAGTTCACTGAACTGAACACAAAGGTACATTTTCAGGTCACTGCCACGATTAAAGGAAAACGCCTCTGTAGTACTAGGCACAACGAGATGTTAAACAGTGTCAAGCGGAGTACGTCTAATTAATCTAAGTACATTTCAGAAGACTGAATTGATTGCCTCCTTCACCATTCCTTCCAAGATACAGCATTTGATTTCATTGATAGAGGCAGGCAAAATAAAAAAACGCTTAGCTCTTTTTTTTTTTCTAGTGAAAACTATGAAGATGGATGATCCAAAAGAAACTGAAACAAAACTCTAGTATGCGTATGCAGTGTGATGGCCAACCAGTCACATTTCATTGCTAGTCTAACAGTTTTGCGGTCCTATAATTATTAAGAAATTTAAAATGATTTTATTAGGTATCAGAGTACAAGCAAACTGGCTAACTGGATTCAATACAATTCACCAAAAAATCATAGTGTCAAAAACTGTTAAAAAAAAAAAAACTGTACAAAACAGTAAACCTTTAACATTAATGCTTCTTACAAATTAAAAAAAAAAAACTATTTTGTAACTGTTTTCTTTCTCTATTTTTTTTTTAAACTTTAACATTTTAAAGAGAAGTGTGGAAAAGCACGCAGTAGAGCATGGCACCAGCAATGCCAAGATCATGGGTTTGATTCCCAGCAAACTGAACCCTAACCTAATAAAAATGTACGCCTTCAATGCAGTGCAGGTTTCTTCAGATAAAAGCAACTGCCAAATGCATTAAATTGATTAAACCTCATGATTAAACATCATTTTCTATGCACAGTAAACAGTATATCAGTGTCTACACTTTGCTGGCATGTTCATGACTCTTAAATGAGAAAAAGTGACAACATTTCAAGATAAACATCAAAGTTAACCAGTATTCCAACAACTTTTTAAACCTTTTTAAAATTAAAATGGGTCAAATTGACCTGCACCATAATATAAGACTCTGGCAAGGTGCTTTGTTCAAATGTTCCCTACAAAGATAAAAATTCAGACAGTTTGTCATTTTGTCAACAACAAAAGTTTAATATACATGGAAAAACATAAATATGTCACAAAATGTGTTTTGTCAAATATAGCTCTGACATCTTAAACCAAACGGATTAACATGACTAAAAGAAACTGCTTGAATTCATTTAGGAATAAATTTTTGTTTAAATAAACATGAATGTCAAACATTTTCCAGAATGCTGTTAAGTTATGGCCTGAAGTTAAATAACGGACTACTCACTGGAATTTGGATGAATTCACTTGTGAAGTGAGTTTTTTAGCTAAAGCTTTAAAAGCTATGCACACAGTGTCAGTAAACCAATCACATGACTTCATTCAAAGCTACGGGATGAGTGTGACTGGCCTTATTTTCTTCCATCTAGTCCATTTCTGCCATATCAAGCTCTGTGAGAAATTTCTGGCACTTAGAGATGAGGACATTAATGGCCTCAGTAACCAGGACATCAGGAGGAAGGATCCCCGTGGACTCAACTGAGACTAAAAAATCAACACAGAAGGAAGATTTGACAATGCATCTGGCAAATCATCAAACAAACCCAACTCAATGCTTTCAGTTGTAAACGTACATATGAAATAATCCCGCACTCTGCCCAGTTTCACCAAGTTCTTCAAGTCATCATGCCGGAGAACTTCTCTGCTGCATGTGTCTAAACGGCTGTCGACAACTTTAGCCACCTTCCTTCCTGAAATTTATAATTATTAGATTATACCACAACAACAAAAGTACCAAATATCAAGACTACATGTGAATAAAGCGAAACAGTCCTACCGTTCACGTTCTGTATCTCAATAACTCCTGGTGAGAAGCAGCGCTTTAACCTCTCTGCTTGTTCTCCCTCAATGGTCTGTAATAATGTGATTTCAGGAAGAAGTCTGTAGCTTGCAGTGGCCACAGGAGAAAACTTGGCATGATCCTTGCCTGTGAGGTGCAAAGAAACTTTCCAGTTAATCACAAAGTTTATAAATATACAGGAAACTGGGGACTGGATGTTGGAGTTATATGATAACTAAACCTGAATTAAAGAAAAATACATATGCTTCAATGGAAATGAAATTGGTCAGGAGCCTCTTATATTACTTACCTATTCCTTTGACACAGTGCATGACTATATCAAGTTCCTGCCCTGGTCGAAGTTGTGCCAGGAGAATGTCCCCATGCACAGGACCAATCTTGGCATCTGCAAACACATCGGCCTGGTTTCCAATTGGGAGCCATTTTATGTCACCCGAGTAGACTGAAACCAAACACAAGAGTTTAGTGACATACTGTAAACAGGACAGTGATAAACAAAAAGTTTTTTCATTCTGCCTTACATCTTTTGTGTTGCACATAGGGCTGCACAACTAATCTAAACAAAACCGATTAAATCATGATATGGTTTAGTGTGTTTATCAAACTGCAAAAGCTGTGATTTAATTCAATAAATACATGTGCTGTGTGTTTCAGAGAGAAGTGCAGCACTGTGTTCATTTACACGCAAGCAGCTCCTGATCCGGCATTTGAATTCTGAGTTTGGGTCTCTTATAACATTTGGGAACACAATATAGGCCAACCAACTTCCCAAACTTGTAATGAGAAGCAGTTATAAACAGGTTGTTGTCACCAAAGAGAAGTTTTTAAGGGCTCCCCGTGTTTTGTTTTTTTTGCACAATAGTTTAACATTTGAAAATAAAGAAATTAAGATATAAACTGTACTGTAGAATAAAAGTTGTACTGTTTTAATAAAAATTAAATTAATTAATTAAAAATTAAATAGTTGTACTGTAAAATAAAAGTGTTATTATATTATTACTTATTAATTATTTATTGTTTATTAATAATTATTATTTTTCATTATTTGGCCAAATTGTGCTGCCGTACAAACGTTTGTTTTTTTGCATTTACATCACAATCGCTTTTTAAAAACATTTAAATAACTTTCCTAAGGCACAGCAGCTAAAAATATTCTTCTAAGGATCAGAGAGAGGGTGGATAATTGATCATCAAAAAAGCTAAATGACAATTATAAAGTAAACTTAAATTTTTTATTTTTGCATCTAAAAAAAAGCTTAATTAAATGAAGTAAACCATATTTTTACTCACCCATGTGATTGAGCTATAAGTCCTTGGGATCTGAAGAGTCTTCAGGGGCTTTTAATTTCCTGGATAATCTGTAGTATGGACCTGTATATACAGTAAATAGTGGTTTTATATGTAGCTTACCGGAATACCCTCTAATAAACAATAATAAAAGTGATCATATAAATCTAATAAACAACAATCACTGCAGTTTGAAGTACGGAGAAACCTGCATGACATGCGCAACGTTATATTATTAAATAAGGGTTACTTAAATTAACAATGAAACAGCCTATGTCGACATAAACACAGTGAATATTATATCAATATCCCTTCCAGGGCATAACTTACATTTTTTACGCCAAATTCACCCAATATTACTCTATCACGAATTTCATCCACGTTGCTCATAGGCGCCGCCATCTTTGTTGTCGTGTCATTTTTCTCTTGCGCCGGTAGAGGGTAGAAAACTTCCATTCAGAAAGAAACTCCATTCGAAAAGAATTTCACCATTGTCATGCTTTATTTAGCAAAACAACACACACATATGAAAAACATAACATTAACATACATTTAAAAAAATAGCCAACTATATAATATAAGTTTTAATGAAGGCTTTGCTTTGGCGTTCAGTATTTCAACTTATTGATAAACCTCTTAAACTGCTCAAAAAGGCGAATATGTCGATTTTTTTTC